CAGAGGACTTCAGAAGAACGGCTTGTACAAGCCTTCTTCAGTGTATAGTTGAGAGAAATTGCAGAGGAACAGAAGAGGGTGGGGCAACAGCATTGTCTGACCAATTGCTTTCAAGTAAGGATCATGATGTTATCACAACAGCTTCACTAGTTTTCTGGCCTCTAGAAAAGTGCACATTGTGCCTCAGTTATGCAAATTTCCAAACATATACTATTAATATCACATTTCATTTTTAAATTCTGGAACACTAGCTCATTCACAAATTACAATTACATGTAGCTTGTGTGTGTTTTTATTTGAAACCACCAATCAGAAACAGACACATGACTTATTCCTCCTTGCAGATCAGAAGAAAGGATGTAAACGCCAAGCCTTGTCAGTGGTACCTTCTAGAATGATTGACAGTGCGTTACAGGTGTGCTGGGACTATCTGGACAGTTTTGAACACAGTGACATAGACATCGCCTTGGACTCAACGCCCACACTAACTGATCAACAGTGGTCAGAGTTTATACACAACTATTATCTGGTTGTCCAGTAAGCTCCACATTTTCTCTTTCCTAATTACAGTATTCTAGTTGTGTTGTTTAACGTGTCTGATATGCTATATTTGTCCCTGTCTTTGCCAATGTGTCTCAGTGATGGAGCTGAGATAGAAAACAGTGTTCGTTATGTGGACAACTGCCAGACTACACTGCATAAAATACGAGAGGTCAGTCCACAGCTGGACATTGATGGCATCCACAACATTTGGATCATCAAACCTGGTGCCAAGTCTCGTGGTAGAGGTAAGCCTCAGTAAAACTCTGATGCAATGCATAGTAAAATTTTTATTAGCGGTATGCTAATAATTTACAAAAATATTAGTAATAAAAGTATTATTAGTAAAATTAACTATTAATGCATTATGTCACATAAACTGACCTTTTTTGAATTTATGCTGAAATTTTTGCATGCTGTGACACTGAAAGGTCCATGAAAAAACCCAAGAAAAAGAATCTTTCGATGGTTTTGTAAAAATACTTATGTGCTGTAAATGTCCACTTTCAGGTATCATGTGCATTAAGCGGCTGGATGAGATCCTGAAGCTAGTGGACAGTGATCCCACGCTGATCAAGGACAGTAAATGGGTGGTGCAGAAGTATATAGAACGGCCCTTTTTAATCCATGGAACCAAATTTGACCTGCGGCAGTGGTTTCTTGTAACAGACTGGAACCCTCTCACTGTGTGGTTCTATAAGAAATGCTACTTGCGATTCTCCTCCCAACCTTATTCTGTGGACAGACTGGACAGGTAAGAGCACAAAATCATGTGTGTTCCTCATCAGATGCTTTAGTGTTAGCTTGGGATTTCTATTTCTATTTGTATAAATTTCTATTTGTTTTTGGGCATTGAAGGGCCCAAGATGTACTATGTAAACATTATTTTAAAACAAAGATTTTAAATGCACCACTCACTCCCCTAGTCCATATGGTCCATGTATGGAAATGAAACTACATCTATTCAGTCTACAATAGTTTAACCCACCCATTCTTGTTTAATTTATAAAGAGTGTTTCAGCCTCAACTGCTTTTCAAATAAAGAGCAGTACAGGACAGCCAATCACAACAGTAGCAACACACCAATTTACTCTCTCTCTCTCTGCCATCCAGTTCAGTGCATTTGTGCAACAACTCCATTCAGAAGCACTTCCGTCCTTCTCAGCAGCGCCACCCAAAGGTTCCTGAGGACAACATGTGGTCCTGTGAGCAGTTTCGGTCTTTCCTGTCCAGCCAGGGAAAAGAGGACCAGTGGGCATGTCTAGTAGTTCCAGAGATGAAGAAGGCTATAATTCATGCTTTGCAGACTGCACAGGATCTGGTGGAGTCTAGGCGGGGGAGTTTTGAGCTGTATGGGGCTGACTTTATGCTGGGGCAGGACCTGCGTCCCTGGCTGATTGAGATCAATGCAAGTCCCACCATGGCTCCGTCCACAGCAGTAACAACCAGGCTATGTGCAGCTGTGCAGGAGGATACCCTGCGCGTGGTGCTGGACCGCAGGCTTGACCGTGGGGCTCACACTGGAGGCTTTCAACTTATATACAAGCAGGTGTGTGGCTACCACAGGTGTGGATGTGTGACCACACAACAATTCTGTTTGATTTAGTACATCATGAAATCTCAGATTTTACCACAGTTTGATTATATTTGATTATTTTGGTACAATTCAGAATTATTTTAAGAAATAAACTCAATAGACACGTGACTGGAGAAACTAAGTAGTTTCACATATAGGGGGATACCACTTGCTACATTTCACATTTACTCATTTTTCCTTTCGAAATAGCCCAGGAATTTTATTTTGGCCAAAAAATGAGTACATACTTTACTGAATATTATTGTAATCAATTTCAACATCTAACAAGTTGAATTACCACTTGCAGATCAATTCATTTTTAAATGCCTACTGACTATAGCACTGTACTGTTGAACTGGAGAGGTTGTGTGCTTTCCCTCAATGCTTATGCCCATTCTCTCTCTCTTTCTCTCTGTAGGCAGCAGTTGAAGTGCCACAGTACGTGGGGATCAACCTCCTTATTGAAGGCTCTCGCATCAAAAGGCCCCGACCTCCTCCTCATAAACCCTCCTATCCGGTAGAGTCGCGTTCCGCCCACTCTGGACCTGTTGCTCCCAGGCCCCACCGCCCAGGCAAAGAAATTGAAACTTCAGTTGAAAAACCCAAACCTCCACCTAAACGCTGGATGAAGACGGTAGTTCGGCAGTTGACCTTAAGTGGCATAAAACCTGCATCTGAGCACACCGGTAAGCTAGGAGAGCCCTGCAGGCTCCAGCGTGCCAGCCTCGGAGCAGATGTGCCCCAGCTGTCACCACAAGTGCCGGTCTGCTCTCTTGAAGCGTCCTTAAGAAAGCCATTGCACTGTGGCCTTGCAACTGTGAGGCCGAGATCAGGGCGAGCTCGTCTGTCAGTGGAGGGCCACCGTGGACCTGTGCTTTCCCTGGGCTTCATTAGCTTTCAAGAGCCAGAAAGGGAACCCACTCTGGTAGAACCCAGCCCCATGTTTCCATATTCCGGTGTCCGCTTCCAGAGCTTTTCACGCCACCACAACCGCAGGGCTATCCAGGCCAGCTGCGCTGGAAAGTTGGCTTATAAGACCTAAGTGTTACACTTCGAGGACTAAGGACATGCAGCCCACTTGTTCTTGTTTTGCACATTGATTGAACCACTGTACCTCATAATAAAACAGTATTCATTTAAGCCATTGAGTTTTTTTTGTGTAGAAATTTTTTTGTGCTGTGATCATTATTATCTATTATTTTTAAAGAATATGATAATGATGTTTCAGAATGTTATAAAACAGATCATTAAACAAGCTGTGTATTCACATAAATAAAAGGTATGTACAACGATACTGGAATCATATCAATACGATTCCAATAGATAATTGCTTTTAAAAGATTTTCATATATTTTTAGATTTAACTGATATTACATCCATCCATCCATCATCTAAACCGCTTATCCTTCTGGGTCGCGGTGGGGTGCTGGAGCCTATCCCAGCTGTCATTGGGCGAAAGGCAGGATACACCCTGGACAGGTCGCAATATTTAATTATTTATTTATTGAACACCTTAAGAATGTAGAGGCATCATTTATAAATGTTTATGTATTGGCATTGTTGTCAGCAGATGAAAAATACCTGATATCAGGTATACCATAATTCCCATGTCAGTTCATCCTTAATAACTATATGTAAATTGCAAGCAAAACATTTAACAATGTAAATTAAGATTTTGTTTGAAACTAACAGATTGTAACAGATGTGGGTCGTAACTATATTTACTCTGTTTCTTTTACGTAAGTACAAGCAGAATTGGACAAAATACTAGTAGTGATGACTATGACTGAGTGCTGAATTTACTGCCATAAATATATTCAGTAATGTGTTCCATCACAACATATAAAAAGTAATTTAGAATACATATTGATAAAGTATGTGGCAAAACCATTTTCTACTTAATTCACACTGTTCTTCGTTGTTACTAGTTGGCACTTTTCTTTACATAAGTCTCTTCATATGTTTAATGAAAAATTTGCTTATTGTTTAAAAGAAGTTAGATAAATTCTCAATTTTGTTCCCCTCTCATTGCCTGCTTCAGTCTATTGCTGCTCCCAAAATCCCCTGAGCAGGAGTCCAGTACAACACCAAAGGATTAGTTTGATCATCCCTCAGAAGAGCTCAGTAATGCTGAGATTAATGACTGACTCATCACAGTGATTTATCAGTCTACTCAGGCTTCAGCAGGAACTTCAGTTTGTAAAGAAGCCGTTAATCATGGCCCTCTTTATCTAACAGTTTACCTAACCATCATGCTGTGTGCTGGTTTTAAAACACTTATTTTTTTACTAAAAATTTACAAAATTTTACTAAAAATTTTTTTATTAAGTGGGTAAATATACTAAAAGTACTGTCTCAAAATGTAAAAGTACTGTATTCTAAAAGTAGTCTGACTGTATTCAGAATACTGCTTTTACAAAATGTGACTTGGACTGAATCAGGTACTTAATTTCTGTATTCTGAATACGTTTTCCAAATAATTGCATTTCTTTACATCTCAACCCTAAGTAAAACTTGGGTTTGAACTTTTATATTAGATTATATTATATTATCAAATAATAATAATAAGAAGAAGAAGAAGAACTGTACCTTACTGATGTATATTTGTGAGCAAAAGAACCTACTTTTTCATCTTTTTGATCAGTTTACTTTACGTAGCAGTTTTGTGCTTTGTGTAATTACATTCTATAGACTGCTTTGCTGTTTCTCAAACCTCTCGCGCTCACTCTTCTAACGGAATCGTTATTTCGTTAAAGTGGCAGCACTTTTACCGGAGTCTGGTTTTAGGCTGTTCTGTCAGGGTTCCCTGGTTCTGTTCTGCCCTCCGCCGTGTTTAAATCTCAGTTCCGCTACCGCGCGCAGTCCGCTTTGTCGTGAACGGCGACGTAACACGCGAGTGCGCGCGCACTGCTCCACTCTCTCAGTTTGCCAGGGAAAGATGGCAGCGTCCGTGTGCCGAGTCGGGGGAGCCGTGGGTCGGGCCTTTGCCAGAGCTCGCGGCGTGAGTAAATTTAACACTTAGCTGCTTTAAGCCTTTTCGAGAGTTTCGGTAGATACGTTAATTAGAGTTTCTCTCGCTTCAGCAGTCGTTTGTCATTCATCTGACTTCCGCAGGCCTTGGAGTGTTAGCCTGTCGGCTTGCAGTTTAGCTAACTTAGCTAGCGTTAGCTCCGGTTTTCGGTGAAGCTGGAAGGTCAACAATCCCCGCGGTAGTTTGAGAAGCGGGTCAGTGGTTCCGTTGTATACATGTACCAATGTGGTTACCTTTGTTGATGGGTGTTTTTGCATTTTATTAAAAAGAACAATATTATTTTTTAATAGTTGCCACTCACAAGGTCATTTAGCGCTGCCTTGCTGTCTAGTGCAGCTGGTTGATGTTATGTTGGCTAGCTAGCACACGGCATGGCCATTGAGCTGAGCTAACGTAGTTTTCCAATGTTTTTTGTTATTCCTTTGCGTATTTTAGAAAGGTGTGCTTCACAATAGAGTGGAGGCTCTATTCTCAATGAATTCTTAATTAACTGTCAGCAGGGTAGCCTAAATGTCATCATCGCAGGTAATATGGCAGTCTTTTTAGCTCAGTGTCCTCCCTGGTCTGGATTGACTTTCGCTTGGTCTTTCAGTTCTACAAGTTGTTCTGATTTAAAGGAACCCTTTAAAACTTATGAAATACTTTACTGTTCTCAGGTTTGAGTTGTGTTGCGTTCATACAGTAATGTGGATGTTCTTTCTCATTTGTGCTTTAGCACTGAAGTGGTTCTATATTTATCGGTCTCTCTCTGTCTCTGACTCTTTAGCCTGCTCTGCTGTCTCTGAGACGGGGCCGGGCAAGTGTAACATATGCCCAAAGTCTGCTGGGTGCTCCAGAGACGCAGCTCACTGCCTTGGACAATGGACTGAGAATTGCCTCTGAGGATACTGGACATGCTACATGCACTGTAAGCAAACTCTGTTATTTATCGTAAGAATTTCGTACATCACATTTAATTTCGATTGCAAAGAATTTCTCACATCACATTTAATTTCGATTGAGCCACGTACATAAGTAAATATCTGGATCCTTTATTAATCCCAAAGAAATTTCATGCATATATTAGGAAAAACTACACAAATGTGCAGAATTTACAAGATTCTTACACAAGCGAAGAGTTTAACATTTTAATGGTAAAAGATGATGTACAGTGGTATTTCCACAATTAACTTTTAAACATTCCAGGTTGGCCTGTGGATTGGTGTGGGTAGCCGATATGAGTCTGAGAAGAACAACGGTGCTGGGTTCTTCTTGGAGCACTTGGCTTTCAAGGTAGAAAAAGTGATTTCCCACAGGGCTCTGTCTCTAGCTATTTGTGTACCATCCTCCTCCCATCTATTCAATCTCATTCTTATTTCAGGGTACAAAGAAGCACCCTCAGTCTGCTCTTGAGCAAGCAGTGGAGTCGATGGGAGCTCATCTAAGTGCTTACACTTCTCGCGAGCACACTGCATATTACATGAAGGCTCTCGCTAAGGACTTACCAAAAGGTGTGATCAGAATCTTGACTTGTGTTCCGCATTAGTTAATATTGCTATGTGCTAGCATGTGCAGTGATGGACTGTGACTAGATACTGAAGCGTTGCTTCTGCTTATGCTACTTTTATCTTTTTGTACATGATAATACATTGACATCAAAGCATATTGCAGTTACATGAGTGTATGTGCAGTATGACTTGCAAATGCGCTGAATAAATGGTTGAATTCACAATTTGTCAGGTTGATGTGTTTAGAAGAAATTTTTGTTCAAATGCCAGACTGTGAACAGTTTTTAAGTTGTTAAGGTAGAATGCATTTAATTTGCTACTTATATTTGTGTTTAGAGTGCTGGTAGTGTTTTAATCACTAGAAATCTTTAATTTTGAGGCAGCAAATGCACTAAATACGTTACTGCATCACATTATATATATTTTTGGTACTGTCAAGATGTCTTAGTATCACTCAAACTAATGTTATTCGCTGTACAGCGGTGGAGCTGTTGTCGGAGGTGGTGCAGAGCTCAGCTCTGAGCGAGGCTGAGATCGAGCAGCAGAGGGGAGTGATACTTAAAGAGCTGGATGAGGTGGAAGGCAGTCTGCAGGATGTGTGTCTGGACCTGCTCCATGCCACTGCCTATCAGGGCACGCCACTGGCACAGAGTGTCCTGGGGCCCTCCCAGAATGCTAGGTATGCACATGCACACGTTTCAAATGCACCAGATGTTGTTGGTTTAGTAAACTGTCTTAACGTTCTGGTTGTGCCTTTGTCCCTACGTTGAAGGACTCTGACTCGTCAGGATCTGGTGGATTATATCAACAGCCACTACAAGGCCCCACGTATGGTGCTGGCTGCTGCTGGAGGTTATGTCTGTTCCTCTTTCTGTCATATGTCCAAAAGTTTGCAGACATCTGTTTATTCAATGTTTATTCTGAAAACTACAGTATTAATAGGATGTTTTTCACCCATTTCTGTAGCAACAACCTCTACTTTTCTGAAAAGGTTTTACATTAGATATTGGAACATTTAAGAATTTGATGGCATTCAGCCACCAGAGCGTTACTGAAGTCAGGTACTGATGTTGGATGATCAATTCTAGACCACAACCTCCACTCCAAGTCATTTCTGAGGTATTTGATTGTGCTCAGTCACTCTAGAGACTGCAGTTCCATGGCTCCACAGTGCAGTGCTGAGGTGTTTTGTGTTTGGCATTCACCATAATGACTTTAGGCTCATGTGTGGCTCCTTCAGAGCATTCGGTTCTGTTGTCAGTGCTTTTCTATTGAGGTTATGCAAGCTATGTGTGTGCAACTGAAAGTCTTTGTTCGCAATGGGTGCAACTTAAAGTAGCTGATTTCACTACTTAGAAGGGGTGTCTGAATACTTTTGGACATAAAAGCTTTTATTTAACTGAAGACCTATAGTAAAACAGTAATGATAAGCTGTGTTTGTTTATTGGGTCTGCCATGGTATAGGTGTGAACCATGACGAGTTGGTAGGACTAGCCAAGCAGCACTTCAGTGGTGTTTCATTTGAGTATCAGGATGATGCCGTGCCTGTGCTGTCCCCCTGCCGCTTCACTGGCAGTGAGGTGAGAAGAATGTACATTTGTGACACATTCACAGTTTCTTTTGTGCTTGTTACAAATCAAAAAAATATATATATTTATACACCTACATGTATTTTTTAACTAAACAATAAACATTTTTTAAAGCCCTGATTATTTTATTGTTTGCTTATGCATTTTCCTCCTGTCTCCTATAGATCCGAATGCGTGATGATGCCATGCCACTGGCACATGTTGCTATTGCAGTAGAGGGAGCAGGAGCTGCCAATCCAGATATTGTGCCTCTCATGGTTGCCAATTCCATCATTGGCAGCTATGATATCACGTTTGGAGGTGGCAAGGTAGGTTGTGCCTGTTGTGTGCCTGGTGAAGATGCTTCTGTTTTTGGTTGTATGATTGCATTTTGAGTTCTCAAGTAAAGTCATTTTATTACAAGTAGTTATAAGTAGTTGTGAGGTGATGTGTCTGAGGCCCTGCTTAGACAGGATTTGTTTTATATGGAGAGGTGGACTAATGTAATTATTACTAGCATTTTTCAGTGATTTGTAGTCCCGTCCGAATGTGCCATGTCAGTCATTTTTACCGACTGCACACTCGTGCGTCATTAAAGTGTTAACGAAATAATGGCTAAATTAATTGTTTGAACATCTTTTCTGGAATGAGCGCAGCGCGTAAATTGTGTAGCCACTCCCATCTCTGTGATTTAGACTGAGATTTCTTAGCGTGTGCAAACCCCTCAAACCTTACATGTCCTGAGGTAAACTGGCATTACCACACCTCCCCATGGAAAATTAATCCCATCCAAATAGGGCTTAAAAAGTGGTTTTATTTAATGTGGCATTTCGTAATAATGAAATGCTCATAGACATGTGCTGAAATTCACCAAAACACTTTGTATTTGTGTTTAGCACCTCAGCAGTCGCTTGGCACGTCTGGCAGCAGAGATCAACCTGTGTCACAGTTACCAGGCTTTCCACTCCACCTACAGCGACACTGGACTGATGGGCATCTATTTTGTCACAGACAAACATAAGATCGAAGACATGATGCACTGGGCTCAGAATGCCTGGTCAGTAAACACATTCCTAGAGTTCACTAGTGGAATGTCAGGTCTTGGGAGAAACTCTGTTCTATTTTTGTGACCATTGTGTTTGTGAGCATATTTTTGTGGTTTAATTAATTCAAACATTTAATTAATTAAACATTTTATTTTTGGAACAGAGAATATCACAGGTTCTAGGTTATCCCAAGTCACATTACATCCACACCCCGACTGGAGGGTTCTCTTCCTGGCCTCATTAGTTCACAACTGAGTGCTATGCATACAAGCAACCAAAAGTTTCAGTGAAGTAATGTCAGGAACAGATAAAAAGATACAGAAATAGAGAGGATTTTTTGTGTGTGTCTGTGTGTATGGTTGCAGTAGCATAAAGCGAGAGTCATTTCTGTTTAATTGTGGTATTAAGAGGACACATCATTTTAAAGATGCTGAGCGTGGATTATTATGGCCTAACATGGCCGTTAGATTGGTGGCAGAGGGGCTGCATTCTTGAAAACAATTCTTTAGTTTTACATGAGATAATTAAGTTACCTTATGGCTTTGTTGGGATTTTTTTGTTTGGTTTTGTTAATCAATTAACTCATTTTTACTCATTGGATGTGATGAAATGACTATTTATCCACAGCACTATTTCAAGTAATGTTAATCATGATTTTATATTTTTCTCTCTCTTCTTTTAATTTTATATTTTTTTTTGAACTGCAGGATGAATTTGTGCACCACGGTAACAGAGAGTGATGTGGCCAGAGCAAAGAATGCCCTCAAAGCCAGTTTAGTAGGACAGCTAAATGGTGAGAGTCACAAACATGCATGCTTACAAATATACTCTCGCTGCAGTATTTCAGACATGGTCAAACATTAGTTTACCTGTGAAATACTTGCTTTCTCCTTTGTACACCTTCCCATGCTTACTCTTTGTCATTCTTCTTCTCCACCCCTTTTTCAGGTACCACATTGATCTGTGATGACATTGGCAGGCACATTCTCAACTATGGCCGTCGCATCCCATTGGCTGAGTGGGATGCCAGGATTGAGGTGAGCTCCATCCTTTGACAAAGAGCGAAAGAATAATCCAGTAGAGATCTACCACATTGCTATGATAACAAACATGTCAGCAATTTACTGATTGTGTGTAGTTCCATTAGTAACTGACCTGGGGAAAATGCATTTTTTGTGTTTAATCCTTGTTCATTTTTTCAGGCTGTGACCCCCAAGATGGTGCGTGATGTTTGCTCCAAATACATCTATGACAAATGCCCTGCTGTGGCAGCTGTTGGTGAGTTGGTTACTTTTTTGCCATCCAGGAAATACCATATATTCATATGGGAAAGGTTTGATACCTGGGCTTGTAATTAGAATGCTTCTTAGAGAAACAGTGCTGATCTGGTGTCTGGCATATGTTCTGTTACCAAATCTGTTTTTTTTCAGTCTTAAAGGACTCTGTGTGATTTTGTACTTTCTATCTGTTCCTTTTCTTTAGGTCCCGTTGAGCAGCTTCCTGACTACAACAGAATGCGCAGTGCCATGTACTGGCTTCGGTTCTAAATGCTCAATATGTTGTCAACACTTATCTCCCCTATCTCTCTGCTTCTTTTTGTATTCTGCTCTGCTCTGCTCTCTGCATTGTTCTTTCTTCTTAAACATATTCCTCACTTTCCACATATCTGCACTAAAAATGGAGCCTACATCCATTGTGTTCTTTTGGTAGTCAGACTCCATCTTGGTACAGTTCTAAGACGTTTGAGGTTTATGACAGCATTTGATCACAAAGGTAATGAGTGACTACCTCTTGCTAAAGATTGTTAAAATACAGTAAGAACAACAGCGACCTCGTACGTGGTGTGATGTAGAATTTTCATGCAGAAAGCATTATACCATGAAAGCAGGAGAGTGAGGGAGATGAAATACATTCAGATGGAGAGATCCATGGAAATCATGGCAGAGTCTAGCGTACGTTACAGAGCAAAACTATTTATGAATTGATGTGATGTTTTGTTTCTGTCCTATTGTACATAACAGAAGCCCTCATTCCGACTTCAAATAAAATACCCACTAAATAAAAAAAGATCTCATTGCTTTGCTATTTCACTTGAGCTTAATGTGTCAAAAGGAAAGCAATATCACAATTATTGTTTTGGTTCACAATGAGATACAAATTGGCTGTGTCTTAAACATAATAAATGCTGCTTACTGCTGGTGTTCTGGAAGGAAGGTGCCCAGTCATGTCCGAGTCACATGTTTGTATAAAATGCTACCTGCAGAGGTTCCTCCGTTTTGCCAGTACTTGAAGGCAGCATACATGTGTCCCTCACTGCCTTCTGTGTCAGCGCTGATGTGGTTAGAAAAAAAATAGCGGGGAACACCAGCACTGGCACAGTGGACGACACTGCCTTCTAAGGCACTGACCTATGAGATGGCGCAGACAGCAAGTCATCGTGACAGCTGCTTTCAGTTTCATGCTTAGCCTTTATGTCCAAGTGTTTAGACACGTTGATTTCATTGAGCCACATAAGCATAGTGAGGTTGGGGACAAAGGTTTTTTAATGGGGATTCACTGATAAGAAAGGGTTTTTTTTGGACTTGTATTCTCATACTGATTGTCATGGGCGTTGCTAGGCCAGTTTTAGGGTGACTTATAAATTTACTTTGCTAGTCCAAATAATCTAAAGTTTATTCTCATCCACAATATACTGTAATAGCAGAAGGTGACCTGGGGAGGACGCTGCTGCTCCTGCTGCTCTTGTACAGCCCTGCCTTTGCTGAGCTACCAGAGATTGACTAATGTAACGTTCAGCCAATCATGTCAGAGCTCATAAGTTGTAAGCCAGTCATATCAGACCTGGGGGAGGGGCTCTGTTTATGCACTGGGAAATAACCAGTAACTGAACTGAAGACAGGAGTTTGGCTTAAAGCTCACTAAAATAAACATTATCCTTTATTCAAAATCTATAATATACAGACTGAATATATCCACCTACAATACGGATTTTTTGCAAATTATGGTCAGTATAGCTGAATATCTGTTTTTTACTTTGTTACTTGTTAACTCTAGCTAGCTAACTTTAATTAACTTTGGGTTTAAGTCAGATAAAGAAAAGAGGCCAGGCTAATATAGGCTAACTAGCAGACAAGCCAGTTTAAACCACAGAGTCTGTGGTTTAACCTCACTTCATAGTGGGTGTGAGAGTGTGGACGAACAAGAGGGGTATGAAGAACATTATTGAGAGCTCCTTAAATTTTTTGTTTTTAGATTTCTCTTCAGTATTTGGAAAGAATGACATCAATATTTGCCATATATTGTTGACAGTTAGTTAATGTCAGTGAAACGTGGCTGAAGTTGCTTCCTGTTCGACAGATTCTTGTTTGAGTTTTCCCGCTGCGAGGAGCCAGAATTAAACTACTGCACCATTTAAGGTGGAAAATTCAAACAAGGATCTGATGTGAAAAGGTCATCATGACAGTTTAATATCCCTCAATTCCTCAACTTTATAGTTGAGGATGGAAATTAAGAGGCAGCAGCTCCGTCGAGGGTCAGTCAGATGAGAAGATTCAGTCAGTTAAGAACATTTAAAACAAAGAGTCGGATAAAGAGTCAAAGTCAGTTAAAACAAAAAGAAATTAAATCAATTGATCATTATTTCCTTGAGCTCTTGTAAATCTGAGTTTAATAAAATCAATGCATCACTAAACACAGGAAGAGAGGGACAGAAAGAAGCTGAAGGAGGCTGACAGGACTGAAGGAACAGATCTGATGAAGAAAGTGAGGGAGAGTGGTATAAGCTTTCAGTTAAAATGAATGCTAAGTTTAGTATTTAACTGAGACAATATTTGTCACCATGACCATGAAATTCTATCACCTTGCTTATTAAACATGCCTAGCGCAAAATCACACTCTTTGATTGCACCAACCCCGGACTGAACTGATCTGTAATCTTTCATTTGAACAATATATTTAGGACCTTGCAGTTTATATAAGCGAGAGGAGACAGCATTGCTTGACTTCAGTACCTGCTTGATCTGTGCCTGCTGTAAGTGGATAGATGTAGATGGATTTGTTATACTGGCTCTGTTCTTTAATACAAACTATGAAGACACAGATCTACTGTGTACCCATTTGACTAAATAGTCATTTTTGACACCCTTAGCACGGCTGATGTACTTGACATTCTCTGGCTGTTGCTACTCTAAATGTGCATTCTAAACATTTTGGCGCTATTAAAAAATTCTTTATGGGAACCAGGCCCCCCTTTCCATGAGCCTCTAGTGACGCCCCCTGCTGATAGTTAATACAGGGGAAATCGAGGGCTTTCAACTGTAGTGGCAAGGGTGCTCCAGCAGGGGGACGTTTAAGTCTTCCTCTTCACCATGAACGATCATAAATAGGTTGCTTTGTTCACGGCAGTCTCTGGGTTTGTGAGTGGACAGTGTCCATCATGAGTTAACACACTTAGCACTGTCTTCATACACTGTACACAAGAATATCAGCTTTTCTGTTCCTCAAATGAAACTGGCTCTCAAAATTAATGTAAGAAAACAATTTGGTGAGTAATGTCAGAAGATGAGAGAGCTAAAATGTATGCATCTAAACTTAATTGTCTTCATCATGTTACTCCAATAGCCAGGCAGAATTACTTTTGGACAGGTCTTCTACCACTTTTACTTAATATGAATGATTATTTTGTCTAGTAAATGAACACAAATACTGAGCACTACAGAGGTCAGTATTCTGACAACAATTAACAAAATATAGTGCAGCCCTACAGAAAAATGGATGACTGACAGATTTTTGCTTACTAATATTACTAATTCAGTGTTTAATATTTCAGGCATGTGTCAATTCTAGAACTACACTAATTTACAAAATATGAAGAGGAAGATCAGTACATTTTTATGAACATGGGTTCCAAAGAGGGCCTATGATGTTAGAGGTCTTTGTGTTTTCAAAACCAGCCATGCTGAAAAAAATCATAGAAGTTTCTGTTGGTTCCTGGTGGTGTACAATAGTCAGTAATGGGGCATGTGTTTTCCTGGTGGGTTGATATCATAGGAAACTACAGGAAACTGTCCTACAGGAAACTAGTGGTTTTTAACTGTTAAGCTAATTTACATTAGAAAGCAAAATCATCAGAATTTAGTCCTAATGGTTCTAGTGGTCTTTTTCAGAAGGTAGGGTTTCCATTCGCCTGTAAATTCCAATATTTGACCAGTAAAAACTCTGCTAGACCAATAAATTAAAATCCAACTGGACATAATGTCTGGTAAAAATTTTGATATAAAATTTAAAGTAAGTAAAACTGTATGTTGACAAGTCACCTGCTGCCCGTGGGGAACAGGACGCCTGGACTGCTGCAGTTTAACAGACATATCTGTGCAGATGTTGACTCAGTAGCCCAGGCAACAAAACATTTATTGCAAATAAAGCTCCTTTTTCAGTTTAACATCTCCTGTCATTTAAGGCTAGCACTATATTTCTATAATGACTCTTTCTATTAAAAGTGTTCATCTATTGCTCCAAACATAGAAATCTGCCAAAGCAAAGGATGTTGTGTAAATGTAGATGTTTCAGTGCAGCCAATAGCTTGGCTGGTCTATAGTGATAGACCAAGCAGCTTGTTAACCGTTTTCATTCAGGTATTTGTTACGTTCAAGTGTTGTCTGCACAACCTTTATTTGATCATTTATGTGGCAATGCGTGCTTTTACTGATCTAATGGTGAATAAAGACATTTGTTCATTATCCACAGCGATGAAACAGAAATGTGGACTGAAAAATGCTCTCAGTTTTGCAGATCGAGGTGCAGCACTCTGTTTAAAACTGGCTTCAGGAGTGCTGGAGCAGAAAGAGAAGCAAGTTTTGGGATAAATCTCGAGCACATCTCAAACTGCCAGGAAACATTTTTTGTTTTAGGCTGTTGGAGAACATGTGAACAACTGGGAATGACGATGTAGCTGTTAAAACTGATGTATGACTGGAATTTTACCCATTTGTCTGGCAAAATGAGTCACTTCCCAGAAATGAAAGTTTACTAGAGGAAACTTAGAAACGTACCTCGCTTTGTGTTGCCAAGACAAGTGGAGGGTGTTTGGTGGGGTAGCCAAAGTTTTTTTTTTCTTAGGGCCGCCACAGTTAGGTGTGTGTCAAGGATGAAAGTCATATTAAAATCTTAAAGATTTATTCACTGTGTCCTTCTGATCACAAGCTTCCAGTGAATGAATATTGCTGACCTAAACTGGACCATAAAACATTTTAAAACACCAAATGTATGTTGAGAAATCAAGCTCACTTTTTAACATTGCCTGCAACATGTGAGTCAGACAGTTTGAATCAATGCCTTTTAAAGACTCTGTCCTTCTGTTGATTTGAGACAGGGTACTTCTGTTTTCTCTGATTAAAGGGTGCAGAAATCTGGTTGAGCAGATGCAAACATGACCAATGATGAATGGCGTAGTGGGTGACTCACAGAATGTTACACACACACACAAAAATTGCCTTGTGATTTTGATACACGCTTTTGAAATATGAGACATGCTGGATGTTTTTCTAACTTTGATGATAATTTACAGCTGTCTCTGATCAGCTAGCTGATTATCAATCCTGCAATCTGAGAGGCTCGTTGAGTTTCCTCTACTGCACTCTGATTCGCTAGTTGAAATGGTCTATCCTGTAATCTGATAGGTCAAAACAGTATTAACCCAGTGTTCTTTACATTAATTGAGAATTAAATAATGTTAGCTTTTAGCTGTTATTTTTTTTTATTTTAAATACCTTATACACCACTGCTAGCATGCCTCTAATATAATATTACAAATCCTGTAGGGGAGCTTAATGGTGCCATGGAATGGAAAACTGCATTTACATTGTTATTGTTGAATAAGGAGAGTTTGACATTCTGTTAACATGAAACACTGTGTCTCCTCCTTCAAATACAAATTCCCCATTTGCAAAAGAGGGTGGTAAAACAGGCCGATTCCAAAATCCTAAACTGGTATGTAACTTTCTTGATTCATTAATATTCACACTTCCAAAATGTACATACATCAGCCTACATTCTA